GAAATTTCGAGAACCCTGCTCTGTGCTTCCCCTGACGTGAATCTCCCTGTGTCCAGGTCTCCATGCCATAGACGCTCGCGGCCTTTAGTCACTTGGTAGCCGTCTTTGACTGTCTGGTATCGCAGTGCTTGTGTTCACCCTTGTTTTACTTAATAATGGCCCCAAAGCAGAGGGGAGTGATGCTGGCAATCAGGATTTGGCCAAGAGAAGCCATAAAGTGCCTCCTTTAAGAGATAAGGTGAGTAGAGTACCATAAGATATTTTGAGTGAGACAGCCCACATTCACATAACTTTTATTACAGAATATTATTATAATTGTTCTATTTTATTATTACCTATCGCTAATCTCCTACTGTGCCTAATTTATAAATTAAGCTTTGTCACAGGTATGCATGCATACAAAAAACAGCACGTATAGGGGTCAGTACTTTCTGTGGTTTCAGGCATCCACTGGGGGTTTTGCAACAAATGCCCCTCAGAGAAGGTGCTACTGTAATTTTATCTGGGAAAGCAGTGTCCAGCCAAAAAAAACAAAAACCACAAACAAACAAACCTGCCTTTCCCAACCCACTTTGGGTGTGACCAGATGATTATATTCTGCTACTGAAATGTAAACAGGAGTTTTTTGTTGAGAATCTAGGAAGGTTCCTAAATGAGAGAGGAAGGAGAGGGAGAAAGAATATTCTATTTTGTTGAAACCTTGTTTCAACAACCTGTTATCAGCAACCAAACATAGTTCCTGGCAACAGCTGGCAGACACCACTCTCCCTCCCCCCAACCACTTGGCCTAGAGAGCTGATCTTTTTATACAACTACTAGATAACATAATGAAGGATTAGGCAGGCCTCTGCTAAGCACTTAACATACATCAACTCATGTAATTCTTAGAATAATCTCATGAGTTAAGCATTATTATTTTCATTTTACAGATGAAGAAACTGAGGCTATGGAACTTACTCAAGGTTATATAGCCAATAAGTGGTAGAGCTATGATTCAAACCCAGTTCTGTCTGCCTCTAGAGCTCATGCTTTTTTATCTCCACATCAGGGTATGCTAGCTGCAATTACCCCTTCTACCTCAAGTATTTTTTTTTAAATCCTCACTCTAGGATATTTTCTCCATTGCTTTTCAGAGAGAGTGGGAGGGGGAGAGAGAGAGAGGAAAAAACATCGATGTGAGAGAGACACATCAATTGGTTGCCTCCTGCATGCTGCGCCCTGACCAGGGCCAGGGGTTGAGCCTGCAACCAAGGTATGTGCCCTTGACCAGGAATCTAACCTGAGACCCTTCAGTCCACAGCCAATGCTTTAATCACGAAGCCAGACTGGCTAGGACTACTCCAAGTATTTTTAATGTTGATGTTAAGGTTCCTTTCCAGCTGCTACTAGGGAACATTAACCAAAAATACAATCTTGCATCATGTTACAACATCATAAAGTACCAAGTGGGGAAGGGGGAGATAACTGATGTATTTGTACTTAAATAGAAAGGAATCTTGAAGACAAAAATTGGAAAATAATGTGGGATGTTCTGGGGGGAAGGGAATGCTATCTAAGGGAGAGGTTGATGATTCTAGATCAACAGTCTCCAGTAATTATTCCCAATGAAAATAGGTTTTTTTTCAGCCTCCCAGTATCCCTGCCTCTACTGCCCTCAGGGACTCAGAGAAGCTGCTGATCTGTCCTCATGTGACTCAGTTCCAGTCACTTCCCAGAACAATTCTGACTTGAGGCAGGATTCATTTCAATAGCCCAGGGTTCCCTCAAACCAGTGCAAATTTACCACACATACTGTACCCAAGCTCTGGCTCTGTGCTACAAATCTGTGCTGTGCTGACCACCACGTTTCATGATTTGTAGTCTGCTCATGTGTGGGGCTCTCATCCCAATTATGGGATCGTTGCCTTCAAATTTTTTATTTACACACACACACACACACTCACACACATCCTTCTCACTCCCTGGTTCATAAGCCCATTTGGAAGAACCATGCATTTACTTTGGGTTTCATTTCCAATTCCCATTCAACACACTCCTTAATCCTATAGTTGTGTAGTGAGTTCTGGGATCTGGCCTTGCTTTGGCTATTTCCTTCTTCCTAGTGGCCATGGCCGTGCAAGTTCCCACATGCCTATGGGCTTGTGCCTAGATTTTAGGGCACTTAACCTAGATTCCCTGTTATTACGCTAGCCCATCTTTTGGGATCCCTGTTAATTCTTCTGGGACCCTCCCTTGACTTTGACTTCTTTGTTCAGCTATAGCAGCAATGTGTTCCAGGAGAGCTGTCCCTCCCAAGTGCAGGGAATGACTTTGTACCTGGAATTCATATTAGATTATGTCTGGGCAATGGTACCTGGGGAAAGTCTCCTTGGGGCTTCCAGTAAAGAATCTTTCTCCGTGATAAAAAAGAGAGACAAGATGACAAGCCATGTCCCTCTCTGCCTGTTCTTCACTGTCATTTCATGAGAACAATATTCTTGTAGTTGTTATATGATCTTGGGACCATGACTATGAGGGGAGATATGATCAACACTTTAATGATGGAAGCAGATAAACATAAAGTCTGTTTAATCATGAGGAGCTGCCCATCCTCTCTGAGGAGCACAGTAGATGCTCCATATTAACCTTTAAAAAATCTGAAAGATGCCTGGATAGCCTGGCTCAGCAGTTGAGCATCGACCTAGGATCCAGGAGATTGAGGTTCGATTCCCGGTCAGGGCACATGCCCGGGTTGTGGGCTCGATCCCCAGTAGGGACATGCAGGAGGCAGCCGATCAATGACTCTCTCATCATTGATGTTTTTATCTCTCTCTCCTTCTCCCTCTCTCTCTGAAATCAATAAAGATATATAAAAATAAACAAATAAATAAATAAATAAATAAATATCTGAAAGATTCCAAATTCTGAAATACATCTGGCCTACAAGGCCTTGAATAAGGATCGTGGACCTGTGCTCTAATTTGTATCCTGCCTGGGGTAATAAAATTCCATTCCTGGGGTGAAGGGTGACCCCACCTCCCAGGAAAGCCCATGTTCTGTATGCTGACGAGGAAGCAGCCTTCCTGTATGCAGCACCTCCCAACGTCCTTACCTCACTAAATGCAAGTCCACAAATGAGAAGAAATTACTGGCTGCTGCCCGTGAGAATTCAGCAGTAGCTTCTCCCTCGGCACCATTTGTTTTTATGAGAAAACCCTGTACAAGCACACAACTAACTGGGAGTCTCTTCCTTCTGCAAGATACTGTGGTGGAATGCAGCGAGGCAGTGTGGAGTCAGAGATCAACTTTCCCTTCTGGCCCTGTGTGCAGATCAGCCTGAACTATGCAACGATAATATGTGACTTATAATTCTCACTGAAGCTTCTCATTTCAACAAATTTCCCCAGTTTATCATACAAAAAAAAATTCACTGTATGTGCTTGGCTGATGAAATCTGTTTTAATAAGTCTGATGTACTTTAGGTGGCCTACAACAAATCTCCAAGGGCAGTAAATTGCATCTTGGAAAGGCAAGCTTTTTGGAAATGTGTCTTCATCAGGACTCTAGGGGATTTAAATGCAGAGGGATTTGCAAGGTTTGCATTTTTCATTCATTAAGGCTGTGTTGCTGCCAAACTTCTCTTCCTGTTAGTCATACAGGGAACAGGGCTCAACACAGCGGGCTGGTTATAAATGATTGTGTGGCTCAAGGCAGCCTAAATGTAATACCAAGGGGGGTGTAGATCTTGGCAAGGGTTTTGTGAACAATTTCTGAGAAACCCAAATGTATTGAAAAATCACATGTTTATAGAGCTGTGAGAGATTCAAGGCTATCTTTAAAGTCAGCAGGCCAAGAATTAAGCTTGTCCTTTATCTAAACCGGTATGAGAAACCCAGAATTAGATGACTGTGAAACTCTATTTTTGTGGCATTCCATAGAAAAATTACTACAATTAAATGATGCTTTAGTCTTGATCTATGCTTCTTAACCTCTCCCCGCCTTTTTTTATTGCATTCCTTTGAGGAATTGAAGAAAGCTCTGGACCTTCTGCCCAGAAATTGCCCACAAACGTACACACAATTGTATACAATTTCAGCAGGTTCCTGACTCCTCTGAGGCTCATTCAGGATTAAGAATCTCTGCTCTTTATACTTGAAGTTCCGTGATGGTAACAATGATGTATTATCGTTATGTCTAATTATGTTTAATCTGCATAGCATCCCTCTTGTCTGAGCGTAATACCCCATTACCTACTCAGAAATTCTAGTGTTTCCTGACATGGACTTACAGAAAAAAATAATAAAAAGGAGTTAACCTCTTCCCTGTTTCCAGAACTGTCCCGAACCAAATTTACGCTTAGGAAAAATTGAAAATGCAATCACTGCCACTGAGAACTGCCCACTAGCTGTCTAACGTCTGCTTCACGTGGACTTTTAAAGGTCCCCCTTTTTATTTACATTTTCTGAGAGCTACAGGATAAAATGCCCCTCTGGACGCCACACCGAGCAGTTCCAGGGCGTGCCATTCACACATGTTCCCAAGTGCCCCTGAATGCTCCCTCAGTGCTGAGAGTCCTGCCCTTGCTGCGCCCTCGCTGTGCGAAGGCTGCGTGTCGTCTTCACAGCACCTGGCAAGTTCAACGTGATCTCCGGTATTTACTCGGGGAAATGAAGGCCGAGAAAACCCAAGTAATCTGCTCAAAGCCATAAAACCCAAACTTCAGAGTCACCGTTGGAACCCAGTCTATTCCGACTTCAAGACCCTGCCCTCCACCATTACCCTTACCCTCTTCCATGGGCTTGAGAATTTGCCGAAGAAAATCAGATTAGAAAAATGGACAGGGAAGAGGCCCGTGAACCTTCCTCCTCTCCAAGGGTGAAGCTCCCAGGAGGTGTGCCGGGGGTCCTCAAGGCGCCGGCACTCCCTGCACGCTAGCCAGTGTGCCCACCGGGGTGTGATGCGCTGCGCCCGGGGTGGCCCTCTGCGGACAGCTGTTATTATTGGACGGGCTGGATGATGAATTGTGCAGGATTACGTAGGGTGGCCCCAGAAAAAAGGCGGAGGAGGTGGACATTGCCAGTTCTCTTTCATCTTTCTCTCATCACTTGGGTAACTCCACTCTTTTCATAGGTGAAAGTGCACTGATGTGTGTGTGTGGGGGGGGTCTTTTCACTGACCTGTAGATAAGTGGCAGCAGCTTGCTGTACAGGCTTGCGTTGCTAGGTAACAAAGGTGGGGAGCACACAGGAAGAGGGCCTCACAGAGAAGGATACTGAGGCTGGGAAGTCCAGAGCCTGAGGCGGGTGTGTGTTGAGGGTGGGGTTGCAGGTATACAGAGAGGCGGGTGTGCAGGTTAGCTAAAAAGAAACCTATTTCTCTTCTCTCAGGTCTGATTTATGTAGGAGGTGCCCCTGGGGCCACCTGGTTGGAGGATTCATCCTCTAGTCCGAGGGCACTAATCATATCACCTGAGACTCTCAGCTCTGCTCCCTGAGCCTCTGATTGGTCTGTTCCCTGGGAAAACCAAGAGGTTGTGGGCAAACCCAAAACCGGACTAGTCAGTGAAGAAAACAAAGAAGAAGGAACAGGTACTATTCAGTTTTATGCTTCCAAGCTGCACCTTAGATAATGGAAACAGATTACCATGGAGTTTACGTTTTAACAAAGATGACCTAGAAGAGAGTTTACCTGGCTGGAGCCAAGGTTGGCAGAGTGCGCAGGATCAAGGGGAGAGAAGAGGGGGGAGGCTGTGTGGGAACACGCTACACAGAAATGTTCAGGATAGAAGCATGGGAGCCAAGGGCAAGCCTCTCCTTAACCTCACACCACCGCTGGAGAGTGGCCAAAGTCTCCTGGAAATTGTGTACACTGCCCCAGATGGACTTCTCCTCCTCGTCAGCAGTTCAGGCCATTTGGGAGCACTGTCCCTCTGTACAGAAGGCCGGGCCCCTGGCCCTTGATGGGCAGTGCTGGGTGGTGTGGGGGGGAAAAAACCTCCAGCATGGTGGGGAAGTCTACCCCTGCTGTAACATGAACTACTAAGTCAGCAGAATTACAATGCCTCAGGAGTAATCAGGCAACATTAAAGAATTTAAATGGAGAATCTTTCCTGATTGCTATCTAAACCAACATTTTGATTAGGGTTAAAAATTTAATCTGGCCTATGCCATTGCTTGGAGAGGACTACAAAGCCACAGGCTACTAGTCTGTCCCCAGATGTGAAAAAAATGGCAAACTATCATTTTTTGTGTGTGACTAATATAAAGCCTCAATAGAGACATTGGCGAGCAAGTTCGGTATGAAGATGAATGAACAATTCTAGTTATTCGAAACCGGGTCTGAGTGCTGAGCACTAGCCTGTGCCCGCGCTCATCCCTCTAGACGAGTCTTCTCAGCTCTGGCTGGATCACAGCTGCCTGAAGGGAAAGTGCAAGAACAAGAATCTGAATTTCATATTCAAAGCAAAGCAGTACATGAGTCCTAGAGGATGGAAAGAGTTTAAAAAGTGCCCTTCTTTGCTTTTCCCGAGACAGAAAGAAGGGAATATTATAGGACTGTTTCTCTTCTTCACCCTTCTACAATTTTCTTCTCACTTTCCATTAAAAAACACGCCTATTGAATATCTCCTGTGCCCAAGACATTGCGCCTAGTATCACTAAAACTACAGCGATGAACAAGCCCTGGTTCCCTTTCCGATGGGAGTTCTAGTAGGGGGAAATATGACAAGTATGTAGCACAAACAACTATAAAACAAAGCCCTTTTGGAACATACAAAGACAGTGCTTGAGAGGCTCAAACTGGGAGAAATGTGCCCCTGTGGGGAAGGATTGGGAAAGACATCTTGAAGAAAATGGCATTTGAAATGGGCCTTGAAAAATGAATAACATTTAATTAGTGGGAGAAAGAATGAGGGTTGGGTGAGCGTGTCCCAGAAAGGGAAACAGCTTGAGCAAAGGCCCAAGGACAGAGGGCCTGGGGTATGACTGAGGAATAGCTAGAGGCCAGGGGGACTGAAGCACATAGTGTATATAGACGAGGACCCCTGGAGCCATGGTTTGCAATAATCTGCTCTTCTGACATCGCTAACCTAGCCTACCCCACAGCAGGTGATTGGGTGGAATATCACCTGATCTATAGGTGATAAAGAGCAGACAGAAAGCTTTTCTACATCTTCACCTACATTTCCTCTTCCCACCATATTTATATTTCCCCCTCCTTTCGTTCCCAACTGTTAAAAGAAGCAAGTTTGGCCTTCCACACCAGTAAAGGAGCCTCTGCCCATTTTGCTTTGGAAAATACAACATTGGACTTTTAAAAATATGTTTTTATTGATTTCAGAGAGAGGAAGAGATGGGGGAGAGAGATAGAAACATCAGTGATGAGAGAGTCATTGATCGGCTGCTTCCTGCATGCCCCCTGCTGAGGACTGAGCCCGAGACCCAGGCATGTGCCCTGACAGGGAATTGAACCATGGGTGGACGCATAACCACTGAGCCACGCCAGCCAGACTAGCATTAGATTTTTAAATACACAGACCAATTATAAGTAAAAGACAACTTATGCTTTGAAAATACATATCAAGTTTAACATTTCAGTTTTTCAAAACTGATGTGGCTATAGCTGTATGTGCTCTGATGCCAAGCAAGAAAGGACTTACCAGCTCTTTAACAATCCTAAGCAAGTAGTATGTCTGAACAAAAAATGTTTTGACTACATTAAAAAAATTTAAAGTTTTGTGACATAGACTATTTAATGAAATTTTTTTTGGAAACTACACCATTCAGTTCTTCAGGAATTTGGAGAAGTCTCATGGCTGCCTTGACTACAATGAGTTTTCTTGGCATTATTTCATTTTTAGGCAGAAGATCGTCCTAGGAAAGATGAAATCTCTTTATTTGGAAGAAACTACAGCAGCAAAAAGGCTCATCAAGTCAAAACCTGGTAATGTTAGATCTGACTTTGACAAACTTTCATAGGGAGTTGCCTGCATAAGCAGCCCTCTCAGTGCTTAGGGAGAGTGAAAAATAATTGAGTCAGGAAGGGATACATCTAGAAATCCCTCTAGCTCATAAAATTTTCCATCTACCATTAGAAATTCCCTGAAAGCTCTAAAATGCAGACATCTCTAAAGAGTTGAGCCCATTTGTCGTTAAGGTGATGCAAATTACTTTACTCAGATACTTTTAACTCTCATTTCACAAGTTGAGCCCAGGTATATGGAAACATTGGAAGTATTGATAAGAGGTTGATGGTGTGAGTGGAAGGGTTCATTTTAAAGCAAGGGATGTTTGCCTCCCTACTATTATTAGATGGATTTCTTTTGTATGGGAGAATAGACACTAGTATAATTGCATGGTCTTTATGACACTGAATGGGAGACCCCATCAGGGTTTTGGAAAACTTTAGGAGCTTGGGGGGAGCTCTGACAGGGAGGCTAATGCAGGTTCTGGGTGGTGGGAAAGGGATGTTGGGAGATGGGAAAGTTGTTGCCCAAGGATCTGGTGGTGGGAATCACTGACATTGATTAACACCTGCAAACTACTTGTGCCCCACTCTGTCTGAATGGCTTAAAATAAATATTGTAGAGCTGCTTTGAAAATGTCCCCTTCCTGTAGTTAATTAGAAGGATCTGGTAGGCATGGCTACTTTGGATGAAACGGGCTCTGGTCCTTATCTTAGCTCTGTCACTAATGTGCTGTGTGATGCTGGGCATATCACTTAATATCCCTGAGCACCCCCTCTTTCACCATGTATAAGAGGCAATCATTCCTGTCTTTCAGGGTTAATGTGAGAACTAAATAAAATAACCTATGTTTAAAAAGCTCAGTAGAATCATTTCAGTACATACTATATTTCTTTCTAATAGTGCTTCGTTCCTTTTCGGAATTCTGGAAGGGCAGGCTCCCAGCGGGGTTATTCTTGATAAGGTCCACCGGGTCTCCGCAGCTGCGGCCCACACCTTCAGGGCCCCGAAGGCGACTCCTTCTATTAGGGGACCTGGGAGCAGAAGAAGAAATGGACTTTGGTTCACTGCCAACTAGAGCAGAGCCTTTCTAGAACTGTCCCAAGCCCAGGGCGTTTCCCTGGAACTGGACCAGCCCTTGAATGGAAGAGGCCTGGCTTCGCTATGCTTGGCTTGCCTTGGAGTTTCCAGTGAACCTTGCCAGGGTGCCGCCAGACATGAGATGCTGTTCCCTTTTTCCTCAAAGCTGTTTATGTTAATTAATCCAGGCATTTTGGAGCAGGAATTCTTCATGTAGAGAATATTTCCCACAAACATTCCAGCCTGTCACACATCTTCCAAGCTAAACATATTTTATAGGTCCTAACCCCTAAAACTTAATAAATTACCATTCAAGCTGGAAGAAGTGATAATTTATTTGTACATGTTCCTTAATTGAAAGTCATTTGAGGTGAAAAAAAATCAATAGTTATCCCAGCAACCATGTAATACATTATAGAATTAACTCCAGCCCCTCTAATTTGCATGGTTAAAGCACTTTCAGAAACCATAGGTCTAAAGAGAAAAAATAATTGGGAGGTTACCATGCGTTGGTGTGCTGGTCCATTTTAGTGCATGCTTCTCTGGGTCAAATAACATTTCTGGAAGGATATTTTTAGTAGATGTGTCAGTTTCTTTATTGTATGGTAAATGTCTGCAAAATGTAGTTCATCTGATCCAACCTGTGATTGTAAATCTTGTTAGTGGCACATCTAAGCTCACTTGGGCTCCCCCACTAAAAGGAAGGTCAGTAGCTGGGTCATTGTAATAAGGAGTGAAGCTTCTTGGGGAAGAGCAAGGTTAACATTTTTTCCTACTCCTTTGGGATGGGAGGGAAACTTATTTTGCTCTTTCGATTGTTTTCTTAAATTTTTTTTTTTTTCCTCATGTGGCTGGTTCAAAGTGGGACTGAAGTAGTCCTAGAAAGAACTGAGTAGTGCTCTGGGAAAGGGGGGGCATTAACCAGCTGTTCTTGCCCTGATGCTCTTTCCTTGAATTTGTACTGTCTCCTCTGGTTTTTGGAGATGTAGGACCCTGGGAACAAAATCTGAGTGTGCACCTATAGTAGCAATTCTCAAAACATGGTTCCCAGACAAACTGCATCAGCATCAGCAGAGAACTTGGCATGCAAGTTCCCAGGCCCCACCCCAGAAATGCAAGATTTTCAACCCCACCCCAAGAAATGCAAATATTCAGTCCCCACGTCTACTGAATCAGAACCTCTGAGGGTGGAGCCCAGTCATCAATCCAGGTTTTAATGAGTGCTCAGGGTTTTGCTAGAACAAGGTTTTTGCTAGTATACTGGCCTCAGAAAGTTCAACCTACTTCTAGGCTAAGCCTTAATTAAGCTCCAAGGGCTGTGCCTACCCAGCTCCACAGAAGAGAGATTTGGGGTGCGAACCCCAGTGGGTAACAAAGTACGTGGACATAGGAGGACTCTATATGCCCTTTTGGTACAGCAACAGTTTCTGGCTGAGGAATCAGGATTTTGACTCAGTTTACTTCTTGAAGGCACAATATAGACACTAGTCCTGTCTTGCAAATATATTTTCTGTACTAGCAGCTGGGAACTCTGAGCCATAAGACTGGTTTAAGCACTGCTTTGTTGAAAGACCTTTTATAAGCTATTCTCCATGCATCAGAAGGGGAGTCCAGCTGGGGCAAGCCTAGGTCCAACTGTTGGGTTGACCTTTGCGGTGAGGCCATTTTCTCCTGGGTGTCCAATGCCCTCACATTGCCACTTGTTTACTGAGAGCTCTTTTGACTGAAGTGTCTGTCAGGATACCCCACCCCCCAAAATTGGTTATTATGCTATCCAATCCAGCTTTCTCTTGAAATTAACTAGTTTTTCTGGTGGACTGACCGCCATGTGAAAATTTTGAACCCTAAGTCAGTCTAGTGGTGAAGCTTTCAGGGCACTGGACCCATTTAGATTTCTTGGTCTCGTTACTTTCCACCACCTAATATTTATGAGGAGATGAGAAGTCATTATATGAAGGGTTCTATATATAAACAGCTTTTGTTATAGATGTTAGTGTAGTAAGAAGTATATAGGTTTATAAGCAGTTTGAATCCAGGTTCTAGCACTTACTAAGCCAAAGGCCTTGAACAGGTTGCTTAGTTTTAGTTTTGTCAACTTGTTATAGGTATAATTTCTACTTTCTTAATTAGAGCAAATGTAATTAATGCCTAATGGTAATTTTTATTGCTGGTATTAGTAAAGTGATCTAAGCTTTTTTTGTGTGTTTTTTAAATCCTCACTTGAGGGTATTTTTTCCACTGCTTTACAGAGAAAATGGGAGGGATAAAGAGAGACAGAGACAGAGAAAGAAACATCAATGTGAGAGAGACACATTGATCGGTTGCCTTTTGCACGAGCCCCTACCTGACCCGGGCCAGGGATCAAGCCTGCAACTGAGGTATGTGCCCTTGACTGGGAATTGAACCTGGGACCCTTCAGTTCTCAGGCTGACACTTTAACTACTGAGCCAAAATGGCTAGGCCTAAGTTTTGTTTGTTTTTTAAACTGAAAAATCTTTTCTGTTTGACTTGGAATGAATCACATATCTTGATGTTGTTTTCCCACTTTGATTTAATTTTTGCAATGACATGTTTTGGGGCTACTATTAACATTATTCTTTAGTTCATGAGCACTTACATGGACAGGGGTCTGAACATTACTAGATGTAAGGAAAAGGCCAGAATAAAATGTAACATTCACCGTAGGTAGCTGACAAAGTGTAAAGCTGGATAATTGAGCCAGTTTTAACTTTTTAATTATGCATTTAAAGAGAAGGGGTGTTTCCCCTCATTTCACTGTGCTGTTTGTTTTATTGGGAGGGGAGTGCCTTACCAAAGGTAAGTGAGGTTGGAAAGCTGGCACCACCCAGCTGTGTAACCTAGGGCAAGTTACTTAACCTCTGAGCCTTCTTTTCATCACCTATAAAAATAGACTAATACCTAGTTTTCAGCGGTGGTATAAGGTTAGAGGTTCCAGGTAACCCCAATGATCTGCCCTAATGGAGGGGAGTAATAGATAATCCGAAGAAAATTAATTTCTCTTTGGCTTTGGAGGCCTCATAGTATTCCTTTTTCTAACTTACAGATCTATCTTCCTAATTCTTTGCTTAAGCAGAGATGAAAGTTCTCTTACATTGTGAGAATTCTTCCCTTGTATTGTGGGAATGCACCTCTGTGGCAGAAGTTTTCCAAGGAGATGTGCAAGCCTTTTGCAGATAATTGAGTGTTGGCTATCAAACATTGGTCAGTTCAAAGGTCACTGGCTATTGGAAATAGGCAGTGCTGCTTTCTGTGACCAGCTGGTGTTCCTTGTGTGTGCCTGATGGAGGCTGAGCAGAGCAAGGCAGAGCAGGCGAGTGGGAAGTGCTTCTGTGCTCGGGGAGCAAGGCCCGCGGGGTGGGGCCAGAGAGGGCCCCCTTCCATGTTTAAGGTGGCCAGCTCTATACAGCCACACATGACTACTCCAGAGACACCGTGGGAAAGCGACAAGGCTCACTGCACCTCAGTTTTCTCACCTGCACTCATCTGCCAAACAGTGTACAGCATGTGCTCACATTACTGTCCTAAGGATTAAATGAGATTACTGTATGCAGCCAGCCAGTAATATACTACTTTATGAAAGAGTCTCTCTAAATCCTTATTGGCCTTGAATATTTTTCAGGATTCTATGCCTCCTCCCTTTTCTTTCGGAGAAAAACAACATTTGCAATCTGTAATGCATAAAAGTTGATTATTTCCACCTGATATGTCATACTGTGTGATCTGCCAGCAGGAAAATGTCTTCATTTCTTGAGAAAAGCTACCTCATTCTTTCTCTCTTTCATACTCCAGAACACAGCCTGGTCCTTTCTTCCTCCCTGGGTGAGTGAGGCATGCCAGGTTCTGAGTTCAAACATAAATCCTGGAACGTTCCTAAGGTGTGCAGGCCCTCATTCTGCTCAAGTGTTGAAACAAAGCATAGGACCAGGACCTCTTCAAGAATCCTCACACTTTTTGTCTCAAATACTAAGTTGCCTTGTCTCATTTAAGAATACTGTTGAGCCTGGCTGGTGTGGCTGAGTGGCTGAGCGTCGACCATGAGCCAAGAGGTTATTGGTTCAATTTCCCGTAGGGCACATGCCTGGGTTTCTGGCTTGATGCCTTGTAGGGGGCGTGCAGGAAGCAGCCGATTGATGTTGATGTTTCTCTCATCAATATTTCTCTCTGCCTATCCCTCTCCCTTCCTCTCTTTCTCTAAAAATCAACAAAAACATATTAAATAATAATAAAAAAAGAATAGTGTTGAGACTACCTTGTATTTGTTCTTGGTTTTTTTCTTGAAATATGGTAAATCAATATTTTTCTTGAGGGTTATTTTATCAATCCACATATTTCAATGAGTGCCATATTAACTTGTTTATTCATACTTGTTTGTTCTTTTATGCAAAATAGAGACTGTGGTGAAACAGCAACATGGAGATAAGGAAATTACCCGTGCTCTCTCGAGTTCCCTGGGCCTCGGTTCAATAGACTCAGCAGTGTGTTGAATGCCAGCTGTGTGACTTCAGACAAATCACCTGATCTCTCTGGACTTCAAATTCCTTATCTGTAAAGGGAAGACAATAGGATTATTGTGTAGGTCAAAGATAATATGCTGAGGGACTTTGCACAGGTAAGCAATAAACAAAGTATAACGATGCTTAAATCCCAACTTTAGAAATCGTAACATTTGTCTGAAAGTTTAACAAAATTATACTGTTCACATTTACCCTTGTTCTCTTTTTGTAGACAAAGGAATGGAGGCTCAGAGAAGTTAAGTAACATGCTCAAAACTATGCATCTAGAGAGTGAAACAACTACGATTCAGCCTAGAGTTTTTTATGTTAAATTTAGGCTTTCATTTACTCCGTACAAGCTGCCCCCTCATGATGAAAACTGAATTCTTCGTGGTATCCTGGGACCAAGAATTGTGACTGCCAAAAACACACACTTCGCCTATTCCTCTTTGAAGCACTGATTGCCTTCTGCCTCACACTATAATTACTTATGCATATGTAATAGATTTTCTGTTAGCCTATGCAAAAAAAAAAAAAAAAATCAAAGTAGAACCTGACTCTGGGAATTCTTATACTCTCCTGTAGTATCAGCACAGGGCCCGGGGGCCTGGGGGTACTCAACGCATGTCTACTGAGTACATATAAGCAGAGAGGTCCAGGCTTACATCCGGTTTTGTGTAATAGTTACTTACTCCAGCATGCCATCCCGCTCCTCTTCTGTGTCTCCCAGAGTTCAGGCTATAAAAATACGTTTTTACACCTGTCTCTGTTCCCCAAATGCTTGATGTGGTTCATTGCTCCAGTGAATCTGTACCTGACTTCCATGACTCACTCGGAGAGATCAACAAGTTCACACACTGATGTGAACAAAGAAGAGGGAGGGAGGCATCAGGCACTTGATAATTTATTAAGAGGCAAGCACGGACATATTGAAAAATTTGTATGCAAATTATATATTTTTATTAAATAAATCAATTAACATAAGTACATGTTGCAATCATTTCCAAGAAATGCAGTGAAAAAAATTAATGTAGTTGAGGGACTTAACAAATCTAAAAGCATTCATCTGCTTGACTAATCATTCCATGGCCTCCACATCCCCCCATCCTGCCCATAAGCAGCTCTGCCCTTAGTAAAGGCTTTAAGCTATAAATGGTTCTGCACGTACAGTTACAGGGCTGCTTTGGGTCCATCTCATGCTCTATGGATTTGACCCCTTTGAGAGAGGAGTTAGTCTCAGAATCCACTTAGTGACCCCAGGAGAACAACACCAATCAGACATACTCAACACAGCCAGTGTAGCAGGAGGTAAAATTGATACTGACAACTGTTAGTGGGTGTATTTTTAAAATATATGTATATATCTTTATTGATTTCAGAGAGAGGAATGGAGAGGGAGACAGAGAGAGAAATGTCAATGATGAGAGAGAGAATGTCATTGATCGGCTGCCTTCTGCATGCCCCCCACCGGGGATCGAGCCCAAAACCCGGGCATATGCCCTGACCGGGAATCGAACCCCGATCGCCTGGATCCTAGGCCATGCTAAACCGCTGAACGACGCCGACCAGGCTTAGTGGATGTATTTGCAGAAGTAACCAACCTGAGGAATAAATTAGGAACTCAAATGAGTTTCCATTGAGGTAGGAAGCAGTGGTGGTGGTAAGGGTCACATGCTTGGGACTCGGGAACCATCATTTTCTTCTTCCACTCTGGTGACTGCCATTTGGCTGGGCACTATTGAGTGACATTTTTACTGCTCTGTGCCTTGGTTTGTTCGTTTAGAACAGTGATTCTCAGCCAGGGGCCATTTAACCCCCCAAAGGACACATGGTAATATCAGGAGACATTTTTGGTTGTCACAACTAGGGGAACGGAAGGTGGTGCTACTTACTGGCCTCTGGTGGGTAGAGGTCAGAAATGCTGGTAAACATCTTATATTGCACTGGACGGCCCCACAGCAAAGAATCATCCAGCTCAGAATGTCAACGGTGCCAAGGTGGAGAAACCCTGATTTAGAGAGGCAATGGTAATACCCTGAACCTACCCCCCCGAGGGACTGTTAGGTGACTTTACTTTTGTAGACTACTTTCAGATCCTTGGGTAAAAGTTGCCATGTAAGTTTTTTTTTATTAAAAAAGTCATGTTGCTACAAGTCCCTTGGCCTCAGTGAAGCTTGCTGACAGGGTCTGACTCAGCTTCTTCCCACATTTTAAAGGGTTATCTTTGCTCTCATTGGGGTTTGTCTTTTTTTTTGAAAGCTAGTTTTCTTTCCTTAAATACTTTAAATTTTAAAGGTTTGATCCTGCACCACCTACTTCTCTAAGTCATTTCTGGCATAGCTATCAAGATTTTTAAAGAGAACTTTTCAAACTGGTCTTGGGTCTGAACTAAAGGATACTTATTTTACTGATGCCAAGGAACCAGGTGCGCTTTGAACGATGATTCCATTGCTGGCTGACCCACGGGTGAAAAAGAGTTAAATTAGTGAGAGTAGTGAGAGCAAACTGAGCCTTTCATGGGCTCCTCTCTTCCTGTAGCTCCTGGAAAATTCTCTTCCGCGACCCTTGGGAGTCACAAAGGGAATGACAAAGAAGGGAAAAAACAACTTCCAAAGTAGACACTCACAAGAATCGTATTTTATTTTCTCTGGAACCGTCTAGAAGAAAAGAAAACAACCACACAGACAAGACAATTTTAAACCAAACCTGCTTCTGATTTAAGTCATTTCCTTTCTGCTCGCCTGTCAAACTTCAACAGCATCGTATCAAGTTGGTCTGAAAACCAGGCTGGTGCACGAGGCATTTTTGGAAGTACTTTGACTTCGTTTGGCAGACTCTAGAGAATATCAAATGTGTCAGAAAGTGGGAGGTCAGGGGAATGGAGAAATGGAGTTTATTTTCATGGAAAGTTGGTTGTGCACTTAGGTTGCTGGGAATATTTTTTCTGTGAAAAGATGATTTAAACTAAAGGCAAAGATTAGGGGGGAAAAAGAAATTAAAAGACTAAAGATCAGGCAAAGAAAAAGAATTTCTATTGCCAAAATACTGTCATGTGTAAATTCCGGGTTGTTTACATAAAAATCCATCAGAGCAGAATGATGCTCTAGATTTTAAAGATCTGAAAATAGGTGGTATTTCTCATACTCTCTACTTTATAATTACCAAAACTTCTTATTTTGTATTTCTGCTACCTTTAATTGAAATAAAGTGTTTATACTTATGGGGGAAAAAAGAAAAATAATTTCTACCCAAGAACATTGATTTTGGCATAGAAACCTCTACCTCATTACTCAAGAAAGAGCATTCTACGAGCCCTGTTAACACCATTTCATGTTCATTCAATGAATGCCTCTGGTGGATGGTAAGAATCATAAAGAAATATCATGAGTTGGAGAGCACCACTGGGAAAGCACTGAAGGAAAACCCAGGGAGGCTGCTCTAAGACTCCGGGAGCAAGAGCTGGAGAAACAGGTCACCCCTGGCTGCTCTCAGTCTTAATCCTTGAGGTCCCTGGGACAGAATTTTCTCCAGTTTTCTTCCTTCCACTGTTTGAAGGGTATTATGGGAATACAGCTGGCTCCTGGCGATGACATTAGCATTATGAATAATGCTTGGGGGCTAGGCCTAGGGTGTTGGGAACTGCCTGTTGACTTCCCAGAACAGCTTTACACAATGATGTCTGGGATGCCGGGTCAGCAGAGTGACTGTCAGAGAAAATGCAGGCAGCAGAATCCATTGGAAGTAGACATTAAAAACTAGGTATTTAAAGAGAGAATCTTGCAATATCGTCTTCATTTTGTTTGCATTGTGGTATGCTGGTGTTTACCTTGCCATAATTTTGTTATTCTTTATTCATAGAATTATATAGCTTGAAAAAAATATTCTTTTGCTGTGACTTAAGTGTGATCTCTCTTGGCTTCTTGTGATTCCTATAATCAGTCATGGGTTTGGCAGAAATTCATGACTTTTCATGAAACCAGCAGTCACATCTGCATGCTTGTTTATGTTCTTCTCTTCCATGTAGACTGTAATTTAAGAAGCAAGTAGTTTGATCTGATTGATAGAACATTAAGGTAGGTATAGAGCAGGAGTCTGCAAGCGTTACCTTAAAGGACCTGATAGTAAATATTTTAGGCTGTAGTCTGTATGGTCTCTCCATCAACTACTCAACTCTGCCATTGTAAGTACACTTGCAGCATAGAAAATAAAACAAATGGGCGTGGCTGGGCTCCAATAAAACTTTATTTACAGACATTGAAATTTGAATTTCATGTCATTTTCACAGGTCAAAATAGCATTCTTATGTTGATTTCCCCCCCAAGCATTTAAAGATATAAAAACTTCTTAGTTTCCAGTCCATGAGGCAGCACAGCAGACTTGGCATGTGGTCTGTAGTCTGGTTTAGAGGAAAAGCACATGATTGTGGTATTAGATAGACTCAGGCTAAACATCTGGCCTCACCCACGACTAACAAACTGCTTGATTTGGCTGGGGGCAAATCACTTTCCTAAGTTTCAGTTTCCCCAAATGGAAAATGGGTATATTAGAGTCTCCCATTCATGGTAATTATGAATATTTAAAAAGATAACAAATAAAATGCCTAGTACTCTGCCTGCGCTTCCTTAACAAACGGTAACAAGATAATAAAAACTATTATTGTTAACAACATGTATCAACATTTAGAATCACCCACATTTGCAATTTCATTGAAATTGGACATTTCTTTGAAAGATAACATCAAATTTTCTCAAGTTGGTCACTTTAGCTTTATTCCATAAGGATTTTCTTCATCTAAATGCTTTTTTGTAGTCTCCTGATGGAGTCTCCAAATCCAGATATAATATGTATAGACCATCATCTATATATCTATTCCCACATGAACAGACAGATTGACAGTCAAAGCATGTTTTTCCTGAACCTTCTTATATTGCTCCAGGGAGAAGCTTGTCAGGTTCAGATTGCAATTTAAACCTGGAAGCTGCTGTGTTCCTGGTTTGCCCTTTTCATCACATTTGGTGGACAAGAGCCTTTGGTTTCACCTTGGGGCCTTACGACAGAGCAAGAGATAACCATGAGAATGTTGCTTGCATGGCTTTGGCAAGATATAAATGAACAATAGGAAGAAACTTTATTCAGAATAAGTTTTCACATATTAATCCCTCAACAAGGGTCTCTCTAATCCCGTAATTTGTGAAAACAGCTTCTTAAGAGAGCTTCCAGCCTCAAAATCTAATCTGTGTTGAGCTAAACCCAGACACTTAATTAAACTTTCCATTGGAAAGAAATACCTCTGTTTCTCCATCTATTATTCTGATAGCACCAAATCAGAATTGGAGGAACAGTATGATCTATGGGGCCAGGACCAGGGTGAGGCAAGTGAGACACTCACATTGGGTGCAAAATTTAAGGGGGTGCCCCAAAACTCAGTAATCAAGATAAATGATATTTTAACACAATATTTAAAAAAATTAAAATCCATAATGAACAAAATTTTAAATGAAGACAGGATCAGT